CTGCGAACATAATCCTTTACGGAGAGTGTGATCCTGCCCAGGACAGAGGTTGCAACCCAATTCTTGGTTTTGAGGCCGCCACTGTGAGCACCTCTGTTGTTTCTGGATTTACTCTCGACCTGTTTTTCCTCATCCAGCCCATTACTGCCCTAAGACATTCATTGAGAGGGGAGACACCATCGGGATTCGAGACCGATGATCAAGACATGGAAAAATAGATCTGGGTGTCGTCAGCCAGCTCCATGACTATGAATGATCTCACCCAGTGGCTGGCTTCATATAGATGTTGAACAGGATCGGGGACAGGATGGCACCCTGAGGGACGCCGCATGTGAGCTCCTTTTTACTGGAGCAACTGTCCCTGAGCAGCACCCTCTGGGATCTGCCCAAGAGGAAGGAACGGAACCACTGGAGCACAGTGCCTCTGATACCTAACCCACTATTTATAGTACAGGGCATGACTTTATGGTTTTATCAGCTGCTGTTCTGTTCAGAAGTAACACCTACTTGTTGACTAAAATTTTAGTGTTCACAAGGGTGAAAACTATAGTCTTTTGGTAGGTTTACTTATCTTTGCATGTTTTACTTTATTGTGTGGAAAATTATCCCCATTCTTGCCAGATCAAGTTAGTTCTGATACTGCAAAATGTATTGCTCTTTTTTTAAAATGGTTTTGCACTCTTTTCTACCAGCTTTATCAATATTGTGTTTATGTTTCAGTAGTGTTATCAGCCATTAGTTCACAGGTAACTCTTTTAGGCCTGAACCTCCTATCTTCAATTAAAAAAAAAAAAAGATTTGCCCCAGATAGGACACTCATGCAAAATGATATTCTTCCTCACAAATAATTCTGCTTCATCTTCTTTCTTTCCTTCATATATACAAAATAAGACAATGTTAATCTTTTCACCCATCCACATTTGTTCAGACACCTATAAAAGTTTGGAAGAAAAAGTAACATTCATGGTATAACTGTAACATTTGCTACTCATTTTGTACCTTATAGAGGGCCGATGCAGGTGGCCTGAAAGGAGCAGTTCTGTGCTGCCCTGGGAGCATGGCCCTGATCCTCCTTTTTGCCGCCCCCAAAAGAGCAGGTAAATGGCGCTCCTTTTGGGGGCAGCAAAAAGCCTCCCTTAGAGCCACAGCAGCAGCTCTTGCACCCCTTTGGCACTGTGTGTGCACGTGCTGAGTCAATGGGATGCCCTGATGCCATGCACCGTGCGGACAGGCATGCAGCGCAGGGGTGGCCAGTGTGCATTCGCTGTGCCTCAACTCCACTCCCAGGCCGGTTTAAAGTGCTGGTCTGTATCCCCCCCCCCTTAGTGTGAGTGACAGTCATTTGTTCAGCAGTAAGTGACCCATATTTTTGCTGAATGAGCCACACTCTTGAACAAACATGCACAGGTTGGGATATTGTATGTGTTAAAAATGTAACCCCAGATCATAGTTCATATTAAAAACAATACTGAGTAGGATTAAATAAATAAATAAATAAAATCCTTGTTTTCTTTAATTTCCTAGTCAATTTTTGATTTTTAAGATCTGTGCCTTCTTTTCTTTTTTAAGATGCCTAAACATGACTCATGTTTAATGATTGCCTTGCTTACATAATACTGTACATGTTAATAAAGAAAAAAGGCAGAATAAGAGACGAAATGTGGTCATGGTGCTTCTTGTAAACTATTGTGCTGCCTCTTCCACCTTCCCAAATTTACTTGATAGTTGTTCTTTTTTAAGCAGCTAAAATTTTTAAAAAGAGTGATCAAATAATTTGATATCTCTGTTCCAAAATGACTAGTATGTTTACTGGAAGAATTCTGTGGTTCACTGTGGAATTGTTGACATGGATTCTGAATAAATTAACTCCAGTGTTTGTGGAGCTCAGTGGGCAGGCATAATCATTAACAAACAACACATGCTTCTGAAAGTATACTGACTTAAAAAGAATGCAAGGTAATAGAAGAAGGTACATATTTCTTGCTTGTCAAAGATAAAAAAAAGCATGTGTTAAGATTGTGTCCTAGAGTTACACAATAGTATTTTGGTACCAAAAATACATTAACAACTGCTGAAAGAGCTTGCTAGGTTAAATCTGAATGAGCTTTCTTTCAAAATGAAGGTGAAAGAATGATTACTGCTTCTAGGTGAATCACCATCTATAAATAAGTACTAAGTAATTTTAATTTAAACATTTAAGAACATGAACACAGAAACTAATTAGTAATACAATTTATGGCAAAGAAGAATCCTATGTAGTACAAAACATTACTTAGTCATTGTTATTTGCCAATGTTTTAGGCCAGGAGTACACAAAGTATGGCCTGCAGGCTGCATGTGGCCCCTGGACCCCTGTATTGTATGTGATTTGATTAGCCAAGAACACTCATTGAAAGATGGAGGAAGACACCATCATCTGAGGAGGTTCTCAGTTGGAGCTCTCCATCTCTCAATGCCAGGGCTTGCATTCATTGAAGGAGGGACAGAAAACATAGGGGATGTTCTTTTGTCAGTGGCACTCTGGTCATATTTAGTAAATAATAAGTCACATTGAACACTATGGAACTTATTTCTGAGTAAATACAGCATAGGAATGTGCTGCATATTTTTTTTTAAAGAACAAAGCTCTTCGGGTGTGAGAACAAAAAATGCCTCCAGTGTGGTAGAGAACACTAAACTATAGTTTAGTTCAGATTAACTTTATGAATTTATTCAACTTCTTGAAGCTCTAATATTGCAGTTTTGTTTAAAAAGTGAAAGCATTTTTTGTTACAAAGAACTAAAAAGAATTTGACTGTCAACCTCCCCACTGTTGGTGACGATAGACTGGGGGTGGCTGTGTTCTCGCCCACCACGGAGTTGGATGTAATATATCAACAATTTTATTCTGTGAAAAAACCCTAGCATGTTTGGGTAGGAAATAAGGATGAGATTTAAGCATATGTAGGTGCCAAGGAAAGATTGGAGGGCAGAGAAGAATGTGGCCATGAATGTATTTTTCTAAAGACAATTTAGACTAAAGAAAGGTGCTTTATACAAAAAGAATGCGCTCCTATTCTTTGTGATCACTAACTGGGAATAATTTTTTCAAATGAATATCAATGTGTAGGCTTGGGAGTGTTCGTTGTAGACTTTTACTGCAACACTTCTAGCTTTTGAAGTCTAAAATTACAAAAAATAAAAATAAAATAAAACCCGCAAATGTCTGAATAACGATTAATATATATTCATAAAACCATAGAATTTGTAGAGACCGGTTCATTCAATCCAAACCCTTGCCATGCAAGACGCTGCGCCAGAAAGACGTTCTGATGGTGTGTGCCATGCATAACAGCACGTGCCATCAAAACGTCTTCAGGGAGGGGTTGAGGTGGCCGGCGTGCGGCTGCCCCTACCTTTCCCTGCCTCCAAGACAGCGCAAAGGGCCGTCTATAGAAGCCTCAAGACTCCTAGATCCTTTTTGCCTCTCCAAGATGACTAGACTAGAGTATTCTGAACCAAGGAGATAACTAGGGAGTCAATTTTGTGTTGTGGATTTAACTATGCCACTCTAGCTGGTATAGTTGAAAGGCCGCATCCTAGGGCTCTTTGGAATTGTATCACATACATCCAAGGCTGCTCACCTAGTCCCTAAATGCCCAGTTTAGAGGCTTAACAGGAGCTACTGTTGGTGAGAAAACCAGATTAGTTTTATCTATGGTACAATGGCCATTGCAAAACATTATATAGGCTGAATATGCTTTGTCTAGAATTACAGATTCTGAAATACTCAAATCCAAAACTTTTGCAGCTATGTACCTGTACTGTATTTGCCAGGCTGGAGAGAGATGTGGCTGGAGAGGGATGCAAGGTTCTGTGAAATGGAAGAAGGCATAGATTTGAGCCAAGGACCACACTTGGATTCCCGCCATTTCATAGAGCCTCAATCTCTCTCCAGCCTCATTATGTATATACAAATACAGGTATTTCAAAATCCAAAATACTGAACACTCCTGGTCCCAAGTATTTTGGATAATGAATACTCAACCTGTATTAACAGACATCACATGGAAGGTAGGAAACAAAGTGATAAGACCAAATTAATAACTGGTCATAAATTACTACAGGCCAACAATAAAAATGGCAACTGCACCCCTGAGCAGATGGGCCAAAAGGAACAGCTTCTGGACACTTCAGGGGCATGGCACATGGTGCATGCCCCCGAAGGGTCCAAAAGCTGCTCTGAAGCTCCAGCAAAAGGAGTGGTGGAAAAACACTCCTGCTGGTGGCTTGTTTGGGACCACTTTGAGAGTGGACCATGTGATCACCGCAGTCCCAGCCTCTTTGTTGCTGATCCACTTCATCCCTAAGACAACTGATTGCCTTTGAGAAGACCACTGGCAAGTAGAGTTTTCTGTAGGTGGTTTGGACTTCCTGGGTTGTTATGAGTCCCCTTTGTTCGGGAAACCCCTCTACTCCAGTAGAAAGACACTTCTTCTCATCCTAGACAGGAGATTTGGGGGTAATAATTACCTGATCAATTGAAAGCAGGTTTCATTAAAACCAGTGAGCCAGGTTTGTCATGAGACCTAAGTTAGGAGGGATGCAGATGGGCGGCCCTGGGCTGCCCCGGAAAATGGAGGATTGGGGTCGAGGCTGTCAGACGCGGCAGCCCCGATCCTCCCTTTCGTTGCCTGGGAAAGGAGTGCCAAAACACTGCTCCTTTCACAGATGGTGAAAAGGACGCCCGAAGAGCCGTCATGCGGCTCTTTTGTGCCTCTTCCAGCACAGCGTGTAAAAACGCTGCGTCATGATGACGTCTTAACAGCGCGCTCTGTGTGTAGTGGTGCACACCATGATGATGTCCTCGGGAAGGGGTTGGGGCATCTAGTGTGTGGCTGCCCCTCCCCTTCCCTGCTTCCAAGATGGCACTTTGCGCCGTCTGCAGAGGCCCATAGTAGGTCTTAAATTTCAATAATTTAATCTGGTATTACTACTACTACTATTCCTAATTTGTAAGAGCCAGCATGGTGTAGTGGTTTGAGCACTGGACTATGACTTCAGAGAGCAGGGTTTAAATCCCAGTCAGACATGGAAACCCACTGCATTACCTTGAACATGTCAGACTTTCTCAGTCTCAGGGCAAGGCAATGACAAATCTCCTCTGAACAAATCTTGCCATAACAGATTGCCCTGTGTCAGGCTTGCCTTTGGGTTGCCATAAGTTGGAAATGGCTTGAAGGCACAAACAACAACAAATTTGTAATAGTTTTCCCAGCCTTCCCATCACTGAGTCATATAATGAGCAATCCATTTATCTTTGCTACGTAACATGTGATTAATACATGTTTACTTCAAATGGGCTTCTTTTTTTAAAAAAAAGCTAGTGTCAGTTGTATATATTTAAAACAGAATGTGCATTTATTTAACATTATTGTGTGTTTATGTTTGTTAGTAAATTTTACAATCTGTCAAGTATAATGCATAATTAATTTTTAGAACAATGCTGATAATTATTACTGCTGCTAATTGCTTTGTGAGCATGTTGCTTTGAAGCGTAGGTTCCTTTATTTCGAAGACCTTTGAATTTTTTTGTTCAAAGTGTGTATATAAATATTGTTCTCCCATTATTACTCAGGTTTCTATTCTGACAATTCCAAGAGCTTTAAGTGGCTTAGGCAGGTCTGAGATATTTAGATAGAGGGGAGGGTGAGTATGTGTATGTGTTGTCAGTGTGCATATGTGCATGTGCGTGTGTATGTACATCGCCTGTCATATTGCCTGTTGACTTACAGCAACCGCATGAATTTCATAGGGCTTTCTTAGGCAAGGAATAATCAGAGGTGGTTTTGCCAACTCCTTCTTCTGAAATATAACTTACAACATCTGGTATTTGCTGGTGCTCACCCATTCAAGTACTAACCAGTGCTGACCCTTCTTAGCTTACAAGATCAAATGGGATCTGGTGCCTTTTAGGGTATTTAGGCAAGGCTAGAGGAGGACTATAAATATTTAAATAAATATTTAAATAGTTAAATAAATCATCACTGGGTGTCTCGTTCTGACCTCAGAAGTAAGCGACCAATGGTGGTTGCACTGGGTGGTTCAGCAGGACACCCATGTAGACAGCTGCTCCTGCACAGAAATGGAGGGCCAGATAATGGAAGGAAATCAAGGCAGCTCCAAGGCCAGGATATTCCTAGCTGCTCTCAAAGTATCCAGCGCAGGCAAGGGCTCAGTCTGCTTCATCAGAAGTAAAAGTAGAAGTCAGTCTCACAGATGCTACAAGATCATTTTTTGTGTCATTTTTATTTATCAGGCATTTGATGCTTCAGTGGTTGTATTGGGAGTCTTTGTGGTGTTCCTGTGCTATGTTTTTGTCTTTAATATTATGTTTTTAAACCATTAAATTAATGGAATTTTTATATGCTAGTTTGTTCAGTTATGTTTTAACTTTTTTATTGCCAGATTTTGAGCTTTACCTTGGTGTAACCTTGCTGTAAACTGCTTTGGGTCCCATGTTGGGAGAAAGATGATGGATAAATAAATCAAAAACATAAAAACAAATAAATGAAATAACATGATTAATTGGAAATGAGATGCTCCAGTTCAGAACAAGTCAATAGCTTGGTCCTGGTGACAGCAGAGATGGTACTGGAATTCTGAAGGCATCAGGAAATAGAAGAAATGTATCTGAAACCCTCTTTGGTCATCCTCCATCTCCCCTTAACAAGAGATTTGCCATATCTACACAAAAGTATTTGTTCTATGACAATAGCAGAGATTCTTATGTACCTGTGTACTTTGTTGGCTTATTTATGAAACTCTTTAAATTGGGCCGGCAACCTACGGCCCGTGGGCCGGTTCCTGCCCAGGGCCCAACGCTTACTGGCCCAGGCGGACCCCTGCTGCCACCGCCGCACGTTTTGTTCACTGCATGGCCACCGCCATTTTGCTTTCCAAAATGGCGGCCGCAACACGTTTGCGCATGCGCAAATGTGTCGCAGCAGTGGTGGCGCGCGTGGGAGGGTTGCGGCAGTAATTCCCCCAGAAACACTTTCCAAGATTCCTCTGCTTGATCCTCGGGTGAATTTGCCCAAGGATCGGGGCAGGGGGGCCTTAGAGGGAGCTTTCCAAAGTTGATCCTTTGGCGAATTTACCCCAGGATCAAGCAGAGGCACCTTGGAAACGGTCCTCCAA